GGAGAAGAGTGAAGCGGAGGATGGTACTACTACGACTACGCTGAATGGGCCGGTGGTGTTTGCGAGCGGGGGATTTGCTGGCGATGCGCATGGACTGCTGGCCAAGTATCGGCCTGATTTGGCCGGGATACCTTCGACAAACCAGGCTGTGGAGGGAACGCAGCCGCTCCTTGAGGATGTAGGCGCTGGGTTGGTGGATATGGAGCAGGTTCAAATCCATCCGACTGGGTTTGTGGATGAGAAGGAACCCTCAGCGTCTGTGAAGATTCTTGCGGCCGAGGCGCTCCGTGGGGAAGGTGGAATTCTCGTTTTGGAGAATGGGAAGCGATTCGTGAACGAGTTGGAAACTCGCGAGCACATCACGAATGTTATCATGCGCTCGGCGAAACCATTGGAGACAGATGCGCGTCAATGGGACGTTAACCTTCTCTTGGATGAAGGGACTGCTGCCGCCTTGGGGTCGCATATGGGATTCTATCTGTGGAAAGGGCTGATGCGCAAAACAACCGTGCATGAGCTTGGCCCATCGATGCTCGAAACTGTCAAGACATATGCAGACATTGTCTCGGGAAAGCAACCAGATGAGTTTGGCCGTACAGCTTTCGGGAACTGGACTCTGAAGGACGTGACGCCGGATTCGGTGGTCTATATTGGAAAGGTCACCCCTGTCACTCACTTTACGATGGGAGGCGCTACAATTGATGAGCGCAGTCAGGTGTTGGATAAGGATGGAGCTCCCATCAAGGGCCTTTGGGCTGCAGGAGAGGTAACCGGTGGTCTCCACGGTCAGAACCGCTTGGGAGGGTCGTCACTATTGGAGTGTGTTGTCTTTGGAAGGATAGCGGGCAACGAAGCAGCGGCCTTTCATAAGAAGCACTACGCTTCCTGATTCTTTGTTGGTAGTGGAGTTTTATTGCTTTCTAGTTCTTACTCATGAGCGGTGATTAGTATACATTTATGCAGGATTATTACTCCTTTTTCGGCGGGTCGACCCCCAGAACTAGCTCCATCTCGGGCTCACACTTCTTCATAGCCTTCTGATACGCTTCCCTCTCTGCAACACGCTGAAGATACTTGACCACATTCTCATACCCCTCCAGACTATAGGGGAGCCAGTACCGCGCCGTAGTGAGCACAAACACGACCATCACATCCGCCACCGTAAACTCGCTCCCGGCAAGCCACTGGTTGTCACGTAGTCTTTCGTTGAGGGCCGTGAATGCCTTCCTGAACCGGGTATTTGTGACGGTCATAGGGAAGCTATCCGGACTGATGTTGAGAGAGCGCAGCGACATAGACTGCATGACGGTGGGCATAAAGGTGCCGTTGGACCAGTGCCACCAGTATAGGAAGTCGGGATAGGCTGGGTGCGTCGGGGGCAGAAACAGCTTTCCCCCGCCATGCTTGTGGCAGATGTATTCGAGACATGCGCCGCTCTCGGCCAGCGTCAAGTCGCCGTCCTGGATGATGGGCGCCGTCTCCTGGGGGTGCAAAGCCTTGTACTCGGGTGGGGCTAGGAGTGGTGCCCGCTTGTACGTCTTCAGCTCATAGTCGATGGCCAGTTCTTCACATAGCCAGACAACACGCTCGGACTGGGAGATGTGGAGATGGTGAACTGTGAGAGTCATGATCGTGGGATTTTGTGGGATGCAAGCGTGGTAACTTGAAGTTACAAACTACTAGTAGTAGCTTATGGTAGGTATTGATCTGAAGATATGACCCGGAAAGGTGGATGAGTGGGGAGCCATATTTATACTCTTCCACACAGCTGCCAAGGACCACTATTCTCCTTCTGAGCCTATCCCCGGCACTTGAGTTGACACTGTGTTGGTCTGATACGCTCTAATTCATAGTGCTCATCACGATGGGGCCAGGGGCCGGGCTTAACGGATTTTAGGGCATGCCCACAGCCGAAACTTCCGTGATCCGAAGTGGTCCATGAGATAGGCATCTCGCAAGAGGTTCCTCAGCCGTCTGCAAGTTATGTAGGTCAACTTATACAGATCGACCTGTGACTCCTGACGTGAAAGTGTGGCTATGCATTTGGCATCCTCTCAAACTGCCCAATCCTCTAGGAAGGCTTCATCATGTCGCATTTTGTCAAATATTCTTTTTTGGTTACTTACTGTATCAGAAATCTCCGGCCTTACAGTGTGAGAAGACAGTAGTCTTGATGAACAGCTGGCAAGCCACTAATCAAATGCCGTGGGTATACTTAGTACCTCGTCAAACCACTGATCATCTCCCAAATCCATCGACTGCATCCAGGCTATCTGATCCAGATCAGGGATATAGGAATTGTGACTAGTTGCGTCAGGGCTCCTCGCACTAAGGACATTCGCTTCCTGCATCGGACAAGTCATGTCCCACCGGGCTTCCGCCCACAGCCGGCATCGTGTTAGCAGCTTGGATATATAATGGAGTAAATGGTCGTTGCATTGAAGCTCTGGCTGCTGCCTGCTCTGATCCAGCTTCTGTAGCATAGAGTCAATCGTCGAGATGAGCGGAACTGCGTTCCGCACCGCTTGGCAGTCCCATTCGGGGTCTCGGAGGGTCGAAAGATATTTCAGCAGCGTGAGGCTCATGATCATCTGGGACCAAAAGTGAAAGGGTTGACCGATGAGTTCAGAGCAGTGGATGGCGCCGAAGCTGTCCAGCCATGATTTGATGTTTTCAACCGACTGCCATAGGCACTCCAGGCGTTCGAATCCCAGTCGTCCGCTGATATTTAGAGGCTGTGTCATGGAAAAAGCTAGTTGGTTTATGTATAGTTCGACATAGTGAGCGTGAGTATAGAGAAGGTCTATCATCATGATGGAGGCATCAATAAGTCTGTAGAGAGGATACTTTGCCAGGTAATTTGCTAAAAAAAAGCACTGACCTGTTTGAGAAAGATCACTCGGGAATGAAGACCTGAGCTCTTGCAGCTGCCTGCGTAGCGTCTTGAGATACAATAATTGCGGAAGTGAGATCGTAGCAGGAGCAGTCCCTGTGTGGGCGCATTCTGTCTCCTCCAGTTGCCGGACATTCTCCGCCTTTTGCTTCAACAATTGCAGGCGTACTTGCGAGACGAACAACTTGTCCGTAGGGCAGGGTCCATTGAGTGTGAGAATGTGCAGTGCCTCTTCCATTCTGGGCGTCCAATTTAAGGCATCTTGGCGGCCAAGGTGAGACGAAAGACTACGACGGTCACATGTTAGGTATTGGCTTTAGAGATGTAGTATTGGTCAATGATGAAGATTTAGTGGGGTGCATGCGTACTTGGAACTCAATATGAAACATGCCAGTACTGCCCGCTGCTTTTCGAGTAAACTACTCAGCGTTTCAGCGTTCAGGTGTTGGCTCGGCTCCTCGGCTTCTCCCTGGGAGATAGCCATCATGACTTGCACGTCCGGTGAAGACGGTTTGAACAACCGCAGATCGTATACTAATGATATCGCGAGCATCATGAGGCGAGAAACTAGATCCGCTCTGCCGAGAAAGGGATCAGTGCTCCAAGCAATATACGTCAGTAAGCCAAGCAGCATATCCATGCTGGACTTGACCTCAAGCAATGCAGATGTGAATAGGAGGCGCTTCAACTCCTCAACTTGAATTAACCTCTCCTGGGTCGAGAGGGTTGTGACGGTGTGGATGGCTCGTAACAAAAAAGGCCTGTTTTGGCGCAAATCGTGGGTCGTCGTCTCAGTAAGGCCGATGAACGGAAAATATGGCAGCATTCGGGTTCGAAAATATTCCAGCTGTTCATCTGCTTGATTCGGCGGTGAAGCAGTGGGAGATGCTGCATAAGAACGGGACTGAAGTGATGGATTTGGGTGCGTTGATACAGTGGCACTTGACAGGGCTGGTCTCGCACTGAAATCTGTCCTCGGAATGTTTTCTAAAGCAGCATTCGACGTAGATAGGGGCTGAATAGCCTCAGCCAGTGGGCCAAAGGAACTGGTGAAGGTTTGCATGGCAGCCAGTAAACTCTCCATTTTGTCCTCTAGTCGAGCGATCCGCGCATCGGACTCTTCGGCCATGGGAACATGACGCCTGCGAGCCGACTCTGATGGTTGACACTTTCTCTTAAGACGGAGACATCTGGAAAGACCATTAGCTGAATGCCATCATCAAGGTCTAGTCAGGTCAACCTTTCACAGTCGCTGCCACTCCGGGCACGCACACATCGGCACTTTGCCTTGTAGCAGTTTGTACAAGCACGGCCATAGGTGCTGGAATTTCCGATCATCGGGTTGAGTCTTTCCATATTACCGATTAGCAGTTACAGGCTATGCCAGAAGTCTCAAAAGATGACCCAAATTGATGACATTTAGAGTCTGCTTATGTTGGTTATACGGAGGAGAATACGGACTTCCGTCCCATTTAAATGATGACAACGGATTTCGGCCCCCGAAATCCGTTTTACTAGGGTTGATATACACCACAGCACGATTGGAACTATCTTACTAAAGAAGACCTCAAAATCATGTAAAACTCCCTCGACATCAAATTTGATCCAAAGCTGACTCCCGATTAATCATCCAAGTAAAAAGCCGGTAGGGAAGAAAGGTGTTGCATAGCCAACTAAGAGTCGAAGCCTGGCCGCGTCGAATGAAGATTCCATGACCGTTGAGGACATCGTCCACCACGTTCTTTGCTGCGATGTCGATCTTCTGCTTGTTTGGATGCACCATCGTCTTCTTATGACGATCAATGACCGATGCGATCTTCCGGTACTGCGAACCGGGGGGCAGCTCCAGGTCTGCGATATTGTTCGGGTCGTTCCCACTGGTCTGGACACCGCCGAGGATGACGGTGACGACGCGCACGCCTAGAGGCGCCATCTCCAGACGCAGGGTCTCGGAAATGCGCGTGCCAGCGCTTCTAGAGCTACTATATACACCTATTCATCAGAGTCAGACTGCCTTCACAAAGGAAAGAGAGCGAGGAGAACGGACCCGCCCATGCAAACACCATTTCGCCCGACACCGAGCTGATATTGCACACGACGCCTTTGGCCTGCATGAGCATCGGGGCGAGCGCCTGCACCATGGCAACAACACTCCACACATTTGTATCGTAGACCTTCTTCGCCTCGTCGAGGGAGGCGTCGAGAAGCGGCACGATGGCGTTCACGCCGGCGTTGTTGACCAGGACATCGAGTCGCCCGCCCGTGTGTTTCGCAACAGTCTGTGCACAGTGCCGAATCGACTCGGCCGATGTCACATCCAGCTCGAGGATCTCAACCCCATCGTAATCCGCCAGCGATCCGGCTTTGGCCATGTTGCGGACCGTTGCAAAGACTTGGAAGCCTTTGGCGTGGTAGACTTTCGCCATGGCCTCCCCGAGCCCGCCATGGCTGCAGCCGGTGATCAAAACTGTTTTAGACATTTTGGCAGCTGTAAGGGGTAGTAAATGGTCAAAATGAGTCAAGTTGGTGGCATTACTTAGGGATATGGGCTAGGCCTCATTTATAGATGGTGAATTCCGGATTTCGGCTGCCAAAGCCGTACGTAGTGATACGGCCGCAATGCCGGAGCGGAGGAAGAGTATCGACTCCCACCGGAGACTCGTCCGTACATGATTGTTCTAGAAAACTTGTAGAATGCGTGACCAGGCGTTGGACCATGTGGCAGAGACGTCTTGTATGGGATTAGCGAGAAAGATCAGTGGCCGAGGAGCGGGGTTAGGGCCAGCACGCTCCTGCTCGATGAACAGCTTATATCTATGCCTCACAGTTAGCTATCTTGGCTAGATGACCCCAGCCAACTTCAAGTTATATAGGTCAATTTGTTCAGATTCAACGGTGTTTCCTAGCGTGGTTGCTCTAAGCTGGCCCGGAGATATAGTTTTATATTGTTTACATTTCTCTTGTATCTATCCAGTTTACTAGAGAAGAATTTCTTATATTATATTCTGCGAAAGCTTTACTGTCTGTTATCTACTAGATCAATGTCAATCAGTTAGTTCTAATATATTAATATTTCAGGAGTTTTAGAGCAAAGCTCTTTACAGCCTGGCTGCTGATCTCTTTAGAATCTTCTATCTTAGATCTTCTATATGCCCTAATTCCCCGGAATCGGTGTATATCGAAGCCTTCTAATATGTAGCTAGCGATAAACAGCAGAGCAAGACGATAGCCTCCATCCAATTATAGAGAGCATACGAACATGTATAATAAACCCTGCCCGAGCATGTCCACCCACCTTATATAACAGGACAACGATTGGTTAAGTACTTCTCCCCAGAACATATAAACTCAAGCCTTGCCCAAGCTAGAGACCATTCATCATCGATCGGGCACCTTGGGTATTACGATCTACATACCTGGTATTTCCACCCAGCAGCCTTGTCACGACATTCAGCCCGGACATGAACGGATGATCGGCAGACAGGAGGAAGCAAACCCCTCCTCGCGTAGACAAGGCTATCCCTGCCCAGCTTTGGACTATGCTTGTCAGGCACTGCAAGGCTCTCTCTCTCTCTCTCTCTAACCCCCTCCTCACCTGGTTTCTTGCGGCTGAACGGCCGGGTCGGGGCGAGTCATGTTTGCCCCTATCGCCCACAACCCACGAAGAAGCAAATGGGACTGGCGCAGACAGGGTTTATGTGGTGGTCATGTGCTAATACCGAATACTACAATGATTAACTCAGCCGAATTGCTCGTGCTAGTTGCTTAGTTGGTCAATTATAGTCCCGATTATAAAGGATGGAGGAATCCCCGAGCGTTAGGGATCGTTCGAACGGCTCCTCTTCCTCCTCCACTGGATGCGACGATCGATCCGCAAGGTGGTGGTCAGGTTCATATTGATTTGGTACCGAAGAATCATCGTTTGGTTTAAAAAAAGAGAGAGAAAA